TAATAATAATAGGAAACATAAGAAAAACAGTAAGGTCTTCCGAAAGAAGTCGAAAGACCTTAATAATATAAGCAGTGTCTGTGACATTTATGCTTTTACAAATCAAAGTCTGTAGTACGGTGAGGATTTAATTATTAAATAGCTCGTTTTAACCACCATGTCAAAGAAATGGTTAATTTTCCTAATAATCTCTGGACTGACAACCTATGCCAATACAAGACGAACTAAATGTTTATTAGATATTTAAACTTATTAATTGAAATTGTGTGATTTTCAACATCGTATTAAAAAAGACTACATAATGTAGTAAAGAATCTTTATTGATTTGTCGAAGCAGAAACTATAAGGGAAATACAAATTAAGTGGATCAACTTTTCTTTCCTTTAATTATAAATCTTAACTGTATCATTTTGCCAACCTTTATTACTTTGTGCGTTTGTTTCATTTTAAACGAACTTTTGTTTTGAGCTAGCGCGCTTAGACATTATCCAATTAAAACCTTTTTTACATGCACTGGGTTGAAACGGTTTAGGCTTTTTTTTATGTCACGTCATTAAAGTGACTATCATTTGCAGTTTGTGAGACTGGAGGGATTCCATAAGGTAACCATTCCTACTACTTTTTTAGGACATCAGCGCCTTTAAAGGATGCAGTTTTGAGGTCTTGTGATAATTCTATAAATAGCATTAGCGTTATTTTCATTAACTCTCTAATTATTTGAAGAAAGAGAAAATTAGCAAAACCATTCTTAATTCACCTTGTCTAAAGATCACATTTGGATTTAACGCTAGTAATTGATTGGAATTTAGTTCCGAGTTTTATAGCTTACCCGTTATGTAGATCGTTTTATTTGGCTTGTGGAATATATGTAATGTTTTGCGTAACGAATACAATCTCAGTGAACATGAGTTGTAGATGTTTCATACATGAAAATATTCAATATCACTATTTCCGATTCGCTTTATATGAAATAATCGTGTAAATGCCTTGTCAGGAATTTACTTATAAAAGATAAATCTAGAGCATTCATAAAGACTTCATGATTCTTGGGAGAAACATCTATTAGTTGTTAACAATTAGTTAACATTTAAGGCTACCTTTTCAGAATATTTGCAATGGAATGAGTTCAACTTTAGTGGAACCAAATGCTATTGCAGAGAAAAGATAGATGCTCGTAGAGGGTGTCGCTAGAGGTAAAATAAAATTAAAAGGTCTTTCAGGAATTTTAGTTACGTAATATCATCCCATATGATTTTACATTTGTCTTTTATGTAACAACATGTACATGTATGTTTACGAAAGCCTGAAAGTGACATGCAAAAAAATCTGGCTGCTACAACATTTTTTTATTTGGTGGCAATTATCTTTCTTTCAAGCGCCCGCCAGATAAAATATTTTTTTTCTATATGGCTCCTAACAGCTTCTGTTTCTGATCAAACACTTTCCTGATTGTCTGACTAATCCAAAACAAAAGGGATTATACATAGATTTTTCAAACCCTTTGAAAGGATTTCGATGTCTTTAACGCATTAAATGTTTCGTTTGTTTGCTAAAAGAAAAATCAGATGAGGCTAAAAAAAATAAAAAAAAACAAAAAAAAACGCCAAAGCCTTGTTATAAAATTGAAGTATCAGAACTTGATATTTGATATTATATAAAAACATTCTATTCAAAAATTTCCTTTTCTAGATTTTGTAAATAACTTATCAAAATATATGTCTTTGTCCTAAGAAGTTAACAATCAGATATGTTCTTTGTTTGAACATATTTTGTTGGAAAAATTCTAAACAAATGGTTTGAACCATTTGTGTTAAACACACAATTAGCATGTGTTTACTCCAAGTTAACCACATGTCTGTTATGTTACGAATTTCAATGAATTTAAGTCAAACTGTGCATTAATTAAATGAAAATACATTCAGAATGGAATTGATTGCTAACGTTCTATAAATTTATGAGCATTTTGAGAGTTGTAGACAAAATGCGCAATTAATCAGATAAACCAGGTCACGTTCTGGTGCTGTTTTACGTAAGTTTATGATCAATTTCAGTTAAGTGTGCAGTTTTGCATTATGTCACAAGCTATTATGACAGATGCGCCCAAGGTAAATAGTACGCTTCTCCTAACCGCAAGCTTTACGACTGGAAGTTTCTTCTAATCCCTGATCGGTTGCATGTATTTCCGTTCAATGCTAATAATAGATATTTCCAGCTAAGAGCGCCACGAGCTCGGACTCGTACTCTTTACTTCGATATATAAGGGGTCGTATAAAAAGTTTTTTAAAAGGGTTATAAAGCTATTTACTAAGTATGGTGTATCTGAACTAAAAAAGTAAAACACGAGATTAAACAAAGATTAAGATAATATTTGCCATCTAAATTCAAAATAAGATTCAAAATAAAATCACCGATTTTGAAACCAAATGTCATCTCCATATTTCTAATATGTAGGTTGAATTGACTTTAAACTGTGTTTGATATGATATTTTAATCCTAGTCGAAAATAAACCGGTTATTGTTTTAATCTGGGATTTCTATGTAACGCGATTGACTTAAATTGTGTTATTTACAGGAAGGTCCTATCTTTATATAAAGTAACAAAAAAAAAGAGAAAGACCATTTTAATTTTAGTAAAACTTATGAAAAATACGCCACATATGACTTTAAATGCTACATAATTACGTTGCTTTATATAGGAAACAGTGTTTTTATTGTTTGTAAATAAATCAAATTTTGACTTGGCCCCTATAAATTTTGAAACAACTGTCAGAGTCAGTGTGCGAGTACGGTCTCGAGATCGAGAAATCTGGAAATGTCTAATATGAGTTGACCTATCACATAGCGGGGGCTTAATTTATTTACGCTTGGTGCATCGTCAAACTAGATCGTGACGTAACGTGAAACTTAACACTTAATTGCAATCCATAATATCAATATGATTTCCAGACCTAATTGATTTTATATCCTAACCACTGAAGGTTAAGGAAGGCAGAGTCCCGAATGAGCTTGGACCGATCATGTCTGATTTTCATATACATCTAGACCTTTCATTGCGAACATTTACAGGATAACCGAACTGAGCAACTCTTACACTCCTCTATAAAACAGTGTTCATTTTTTAGAAGAAGCTTATATCTGGCCGGTTGCTTCTCCCCTCCTGTCACAGAAAGAAATATGATCTTTCAATTAAAACTGCAAGCCGACATTCAGTGATTTTTCAGTGGCCATTCAGCCACTGAATGGCACATACATTTCAGTGACCATTCAGTTGGCTTTCAGTCACATTTCAGGTACCTTTCAGTCACCATTCAGGGAACTTATTTTCCTCAACTTTCAGTGACCTTTCCGTCGACTTTCAGTGACCTTTCCGTCGTCTCTTGGTGACATTTCCGCCACTTTTCAGTGACCTTTCCGTCACTTTTCAGTGATATTTTAGTCAATTCATTTTTTTTCACTGGCTTACTAGTTAATAATAAGATATTTTTCTTTTACAATATTTTGAATTATTTCATTAACTGTGTTCTTTTCTTATCTTGATACGCAGCACAGTTAAGGTTACAAAAAGGAGGCGAGGCCTAATTTGTACGGGCAAACTTGACTATGACATCATACACAACATACGTCATACAACATTTTTTTAAAATACCACAAAATGAGTTGATTTACTAATTCAACCAGTAAGAAATCATCCAACTACATAAAAACTTACTACAGCGTGTTGTTTTGTCTTTAGTTAAATCCCACATAACAAGTTATATACAAGTCACTGATCGCAATACACTTGTCAATATGACGTCATTTCTTACAACGTGACGTAGTTTGTATGCAGTGAGAGACAGATCAAGTAATATTTTCTCAACAAAATATGTATTCTCTAATTAAATAAAATATTATTTACAGATATTCTATGGGCTAATAACTTGAATTTAATGTCCTCATCACTATTTTATTAATATATTTTCAGTACATTACGTATTTAATTGACACTGCCGTATATTTGTATGCAACTACACCGGAGGGTAATGTTGGGGTCTTAATAAATCGATCTAGTGTACGGGCATACACTTTATGGATCATAGTAAGCTTTTACCTTTCATCTCTAGAACTATTAAGGTATCTGAAAAGTGCTGCGATCCTGATGAAATCTTAAAAACAATTTAATTTTATCAATATTTCATGCCGCTGACCAGCAAAAAATATAGCATTTGGTCATACAAATATAATTTTAACAATGAAATTGCAGAATTTAGACAGGATCGCAGCACTTTTTAGAAACTACAAGGTGTGTTGAAAATATTTATATAATAAACTTGGAAATTAGGCTTGGTTATGCCCTTGCACTAGTGATATTTATATGTGACATCAATACTGCAAGTCAATGTGCTAAAATCGCGTCACTGCCGCATCACGTGACTAGTCTAAATATAAAATATATTCTTCCTCGATATGTAGTTATTAATCATAATAAAAATTATCCGATATAAATAATGTACTAAAAATAATCGCCATTCCGATTACAAATACATTTTTAAATACTGTAAACCAACTTTTATTCGCGGCGACTTCATTTCGCGATTTACCAGGAGTAAAGCAGTTCACGACGATTAATTTTCGCGATCAAGCATTTTTTGGAACTGATTTAATAGAAAAAGAGACGTTAAGGACCTGTTCGCGGCGAGAAAAATTCGCGATGACGACGCTCTCGCGAAAATTTCTCGCACGCGAATAAAAGTTGGTTTACAGTACAAAATTTAGTCGATATTTCCATTGCGCACCTTAACTGTGCTGCGTAAATTCAGGTACCTTAAACTGGTAATCATGGTTAGATGTTCAATTGTGTTTTCAGTGATTACTTAACTCTAAAACTGTGATTATCGATAAAAATATGCATAGATAAATATTATAATTAATAACTTAAGATTAACTTGTGTAAAATACTAAACACGATTCATACCATCTTAAAACACCGTAAAAAAACAACTTAAAATTGTAAATGATTTAAATTTATTATTGATATCTACTGCACATACACTTAGTTTTATCATCTAAGGTTCTAAATCCTGGGCAGCAATAACACTTCATCATCACGTTCATTCCAGCGTGGAGAGCTTGACATGATCTGTAAATGAAAAAAAAAACATGTATTTTTCAGAAATGTTCTGAAATTTAAATCAGGAATTTCAGGCATCCCCTTTTCAAAGAAATTAATATGTTCAGTCAAATGAACATTCTCAATGTTTACATGTAGTTTCTTGATTACATTGTATAAGAAACTCTGTTTTATTTCCATTTAAAAAAGCAAAGTTTGGGATTAATTTTCTTTAAATTCAGGTTATATAATAACTTAGATGAAATACCTCTCGCATTGAAAGATATGTTCGCAGTATTTTGTCGTGTAACCATAGTTTACTTCAAGATCTCCATGACAGGTTGGACCAGTTAGGAATTTAGATGCCATGATTTATAAGGGGTTGCGATTGGATAGATCTTCCAGAGAGCGTATGGTTAGCTAAAAAATTCATTTATCATCAATAGATAGTTTGTCAAAACATTAAGATAAAAAGATCAATGTGTGATAATACCTTTTAAAGGGTAGTTTACGATTGCTGCACCATCAGGAATAAGCTTAGTTCTGTATAAAGGATATCTGAATGTTTGTAACATTTTTCTCATCTCTTGACTAAGAAACGCTGTGTTAATTATTTCCGTTCCAAATAGTGTGACATGTTGTTGAATCAGTGTTGAATTCTCATCTACGATAGTGTTAATACCATTGTTCTTAAATAAATGAAAATAATATTTTATAAATTAAGATTGATTCAAATGATAGATAATATAAGGATACGATATCAAAATATGCTTATTTATATGCATATATTAATTGAAATATCTAGAAAATATACAGATATAGGACAATTCGAATAGCACTAAATTAACCTCAGACAGTGAAAACCAGAAAGATCGTGAGAAAATACAGTCCTCTGAAACATCGGAGGTGGGATCAGATGCCATGAAGGATATTGTGTTTGATAAAAAGGTCATTGTTCGGACCAAGTTACTTGCGAAATGAAGATTTCAAGGAAACTGTTCTAGTATGATATCGATACATAAAAATGATTCAGACTTTGTGTTGTATTGAATACATATATATTATTATAACAGTAACTTGATCTGAAGGGTCTTATCACGTCGAGTTAACAGGCGCGGAGCATCAGATCTAACGAGACGCGATCTGCGCCTGTCAATGAGACGTGATACGGCTCTTCGGATCAAGTTACTGTTATAATGATAAATTTATTATATACCCTCTTACAACTAGCTAAATAAAGCAGAATAAAACTTTAGAGATCAATTGTATAATAATTATCCATAAAACAAAGCATAATAACAATGGAATTTTTAACGCGCAAGAAAAATAACGTCATGGTTTTGCGTACTACGTCATCAGTTTCAGAGAGTGGTGATATGGATTCAGAAAACCACAGTGTGGTGATCCGGAAAGTCGGATCACGACGTCACGTGATTGCATAAAATCAACAGTAAAATTGAGTGATACACATTAGGTATATAATAATGTTCGTTATCTCCATATCCTTCTTTTATTTCAAGCTCACTGGAAAAATCTAACAACGTTTAAAACATCCGGTGAAACGTTAACATTGACAATATCAGAGTCCGTACCTTGTGAAAAAAAGTTTATGTTTCACCATGTATGTTAACTTGTTAAAATCTGCACACATCACTGAGCACGGACTGACAATACTGGTTTTTTGTTTCTCTTTCTCGCATTTCAATTCTTAATTTCATGGATAATAGTTCCAATACTATATCTTATCTTGATACAAAAGTAATAAGGATAAAGTTAACTTTGTGAAAAAACTAATTATTTACACAAATGTAGTTATAAATAAAGCATGATATCAAAAAAGTCATGATATACATTATACAAACCTATACTTTGTGATTAAATAGATATTTTATCTATATGCATATATTTGTTTAATATGAAATATTTTTCAATGAAATATCTATGTATACGAGGGTCGTTAGAAAAGTTCGCGGACACATTAAATTACGGAAAATCTATTGTGTACTGTGAAGTATGACCTATGTCTGAATAAATTCCTAAATTTTGTTTATTGGTATGTAAAAAATAAGGTCCATATAATAAAATCTTGAAAATTTACAACGATTTTTACTATGAGGTTATGGGACTCACGGACCAATCACTTGACCTAAGGCGACGTAACAACCAGATTTCAACCCGTTAAGCTTTGTCGCAGTTCTATAAATCTTTAGATTTTTCTGATCTTTTTTCTACTTTTTAAAATTGAATATCTATATCAAAACATGTTACTTTTCTTCTACAATGTCTTTTGTACTGATTCGGATATTATTGAGATCTTAAAAACCGTTTAGTTAATCAGTTAATCGATCAGGTATGGAAACTATGCAAAACCATATAGGCGCAACGCAACGTCCATGCGATACGGGGGTATTGAAGTATCGCTGGATTTAATCTTTCAAATGTCAATCCTTCCATTCTTATGAAGTACAACCATTTGAAAGACGTACAACACACTGGGGGAGATAACTCTTGCGATTTCAATTGAACGTTTGACGTGACGTCAAATCTAACGTCAAAAATAAAGCGTCAAAACGACGAGTAAAACGATCCCGATGTATATCAATCATGAAAGAAAATTGGGATATGGGGCTTAGCTGTGATTGTGCGTACCATACTCAATCAATAAGTATTTTTTAATTAACCCGATTAAACTCCGTAAAAAGCAAAACATAAAATACCACCCCTTAATGTTTATTTCATTTCATTTCATATACAATAAAGTGTATTTTTGATCAAAGCGCAGCATTTTTTTTTATTCTGAAAATTTTATTTTACATTGCCGAAATTCTCATTATGTACAATTGGCTATATAACATTCCGATTAATGGTCTTCATTACAATTTGTGCATTTACGATATAAATAGTGTTTTTCTTCTTTAATTAAATAAAACAATAAATAAAAAAAGAACCTTTTTACAAGGTAAAATCGATGATTGTTCTCAGACCCTTACTGATCAAAGAGGAACAACTCTGAAAATGTAGGAGATCCCTTTATTCACGGTTTTCCACAGAATCAGATACATTTACAGCAAGACCTGATAAATCCGAGAATTGAATACTATAGACCTCATTATACACAATGTAAGTATAGAATTGAAAAGAATTGTTCACTTGTACTGAAATTATCTGCATTTATGAATATCCTATTGCAGCAAATCGTTTGACTTTCTGTCAACAATGTCGGTTCGCATTTCCTCGAACCAAAACAAAACGTAGCCTATAAGCTTTTAAAAAATATCAAAGTGTGATTTGATATAAATTGAAATAGATGAAGAGTTTAATGTTTGATATTTTGAAGTTAATGTGGACGAATACGGAATTTTCATTTTAACTGTAGAAGTGACGACATTGAAAGAAATGCGTACCATATCATGAGGGGTGTACATCTATGCAAATGTCGATGTATCCCCACGGCCACATACTGTCTCGTTTGAAATAATGACATGAAAGAAACTACAATTATTCCATTCATATCAACGGAGAGTTGAACATACACCATTTTTTAATGAATAAAATTAAAGAAATAAAATTAAAAATCAACATATTCAAGTTGAAGTTCAACAAAACTTGAATTCGTATCCAGGTTTCATGTGATATGGAACACATAACGCATACATATATGGACTAAACACTAAAATCCTTCAGTAATTTTTTCCTGATACATATAAAAAGAGTAGTCAATATTTATTATGCATTCATGAATTTAAAAACTAATTCATACCTGCGGGATTCAAATGACGAAATACCAGTATAATTTTCACTGTAAACGACGTTTCGTCAAACGCTAATGGTCTGCGACGCAAAAAAAGAAGGGGTGGGGGTGATAGGGGTATTCAAAAATTGCCTAAAAATCTACATTTAAATACGCTTTACATATGAGAACTTTTAAATTTGTAAGTTAATATATTTCTGAAACAAAAGAAATATTCCAGTTTAATTTTTTTTAATGTGTATTTGTAGATTCATATAACAAAGTGATCGACCCACGTCTGAAAGAACGTGATTTATTGAGAAAGGGGGAGGAGGTAATTTTCCGCTATTAAATCAAAACTGGTCGTACAAAAATTATACAAAAAATTATGAAGATTATTTTTACTACCAGCTACCTAAAAGAAAGTTTTTTACTAAAATTAAACGACAGGTTTTTTCACAAAAAAATTTTGAATTTGAAAAATACGCAATTTTCAAGGCTTAGATAATTCATAGTTTTTCAGTTTAAGGTCTTTAAAAATTATTTTAATGATATGTATATCAAAAAGATGACTATGTTTTTGTGTTAAATGGTTAAAGGAATAAGCCAATGAAATTTGATATTTATATCTAACCTGGCTTTTTTGAAAATCAAGGTTTAATTAGTTCATTGATTAAAAATTTTCTCTCTTTGTAAACAACTAAAGGGGGGTAAATTTTGGAAGTTCCTGTCCAAAAACCACTCGAACGATTTTGTCCAAAATGTGCATATATGCAGTAGATATAGTCATGTACTAAATATACAAAAATAACGAAAATTAAACGACAGGATTTTTTTGGGGTAGGTGTGTTGTACATCCTTGAAAACTTGTTCTTTGTAGGTGTAGGAAATTCCCGGCAGCATTTTGAACATTTTAATCTCTTTTTAGACATTTTCCAGTCTGCATACATAAATTTTACGTAGTGCAGTGCTCCATGACGCTCAATGACGTTCCGATTTTTGGCTGTGTTTTTACGCAATGATCATTTACAAACGGCTATAAAACAGTCATATACCCTCCAATTTAGTTCAAAATTTCTCCCAGTGACGTTTCATGAATACTTTAGCGGCAGGTAAAATATCATAAATCTCTTTACGCTACAATTGTGCAATTTTTATTTTTAATAAAGAGTCTCTGTGATGTAAACTTGCCAAAATGTAGCATGCTCCGTGAAGCAAGTTTTATCAAACTAAAAAAGCTGTATATTTTTTAAATAATCACCGGAGAGCAACAATTTCTTGTATATTTATTGGAAAAAAGGTAAAGATTCTATCTGGAAAGTTTGACCGGTTTCGTGGAAATAACGCGCTAACAATTGACCTTGTTCGCGAACTTTTCTAACACCCCTTGTAATTGTGCAAATGAAATAACATTATAACAACAATGATGAATAACCATTATGATGTTGTTTTTTTTTTATTATGAATTATTGTTTTTCGATTGTGTAAACTTTTGTAAATTGAACATTGTATTAAAAATATATATACCGATCCAGGGAGCTCCTGGCACCCCAGGTGAGGTATTAATCGAGGGCTTCTGAGGACGTTTTACCTCAAAATTTGTTGTATGTTGTGGAAATAAATGTTAAAAAAAAAACTTTGTGAAAAAACAAGAATGTGTCAATTTAATGCGTCCCGAATTTCATCAATTTAATGATATCCAAATAAAAAAAGAAGTAAAATGCTAAAGCAACATATAAGTCATAATGTTATTTTGAAAAAAAAAAATATGACTTTCAAATCTGTTTCCAGCTTCTTTAAATCCAGCAGTGTCAAGACTCTTGAGAATATATCTAAGGGCTTGGAAACAAATACCCATAAGCTAAGATAAGATAGGAGTGTCCAATACATACTATCGTAGCCGTAAAATATTTTAGCTCTACAAAGGCAACATTACTATACAAACACTATACTATTAAATTGACATTGAAGAACAAAAACATTTATGAAATTTTAAGCATCTACAACGAATTTTCACCATTTCTCAAAGAATCAAATTATTCCACAGTATTTCCGAAAGTTCTCCTTTACTGATAATAATATTTTAGTGAGAAGTAAAGAAACGGGTTTGTAGAACATTTACAGGAGTTCGCTTTTTATATTTTTTGCTTTTAAAATGCTAAAAATATGAGATGAAGTTATGGAATCAAAAAAAGGTATAAGAATTCAAATCCATTTTCATTGTTTAGAGTTACTGAAACATTTAAACCTAAGCATAATTTTGAAGAATTTCTTCCTTTGACAGGGAGCTATGGGTTAAAGTTTGATTACTAAGAGAAGAAATAATTCCCAGTTTCTCTTAAATAAAAATAGATAATGAACCTTGAATTTCCTGCATGACAATGTTGTTTTTTTTTAAAGCTGAGACCAGTACATACTTATTGTGTAATCTTTTTTATTCGTTTTTATTTCTTAATTTCTTAGAAAGATAGTATACAATAATGGAATGGGTACGAGCGAAATAGGAAATTTATGGTCCCCAAAGAGAGGAAACTATTTCCCAATGCGGCGAAGCCGTTTCGCCGCCTCGAGAAATAGTTTCCTCCCTCGGGGAACCATAATTTTGCTATTTCCCTCGAACCCATTCAAACATTATTAAAAAAAAAATTTAGAGGCATACTTTCAAATGTTGACATATAATTCTGGTCGTCACGCTGTATTTAATTGGATAAAAAATTACTTTATATCGTATAAAATGGGTTGCCTACGTCACAATGACTTTCGTCAAAAACATATCAATCAGCCTGACGTTATGTTCAAATTTTGTACAAATCGAAGTCATTTTATTTAAACAATCATCTTTTTTTCATCAAATGAATGAAAATTAAATTAAAAGCATTGAATTTAATAGCTACCCATTTCATACGGTATATTTTCCCTTATATAACACTATTTGAACAAGGCGTTTTTACATCTCCGGAAAACATGTTCGTCATGTGACCATAAATTGGTTGTTAAGTCATTAGCGATCTACGCAATTTAACTTTTTGTAATAATTCAGTCACAAATGTAAATATAAGTAATAAGGTATCATTTTCTGAGTTTTATTGGGATGTGAAACGGGTAAGCACTTGATCAAATCTTCCATATGATCACGTGACCAAGTCGTTTAACAACCCAATAAAACTAAAAAATATACCTTATTTCTTAAATGCATCCGGATTAACAGATTGTATAATGTTAAACACCGTGTCCTGAAACAATTAAATTTCTTAAAAAGTATTTTCACTGACATTTCGAAGAATTATCGTTGTCTTCATTTTGCTAGAATTCAAGTATGATTTTTACATCGCATGTCGAGATGTTTTGACGTCATAGTTACATTGCTATAGACATGACGTCACAAACTTGAACTTCCTTGAAAACTCGCCCGCTGAACACTTTGATTGGTTAAAATTACTTATAAATATTCATGAGGGAGTAGTCCCATGGAGTAACTCTGATTTTCCAGGGAGTAGTCTTCTTCAAATGAGGGAAATAATCATGTCATTTAAACCAATACTAGATGAAAGATACATTGTAAGACAACATTCGTACAATTCAACGTTATCTTCATTTTGTTTGGTACTCATGCACAAGGGTACTAGTATAGCGAATACTTTTTAGCATACTACTTCTTACGGCTAAAATAAGCAATAAAATAGAACCCCTTTAAAATTTCTCTTATACAGTAGTTAGATAATATAAAACAGAATGGTCAAATTGATTTGTTACAAATTATCATAAAAGAGAGTTAAAGCAAATCAAGATTTCTATTTTTCATAAAGACTTCAGTCCATGAACTATTAAATGGTATTGACCAGGGTTCCCATAGCATTGTGTTGATTCAGTAATACTGGTATTGCGGGGGTGACAAAAGAAAAAATCAATTAGCTTATTTCAAAGAGGAAAAAACATTTTTTTATCAGTGTACAGACAGTCCTTAATGCGGAAATTTCAACATCCATTTCATACTTTTTAAACCTTCTGAATAAGTTTTGAGGCAACTTTTCAGGTGTGACCCATCGTCAAGCGTAATCATACACAGAGGTAATAACATTTATCAAGTTATGAATCGTGTGCATATAAATAATTACAGAAATCTGGACCTAATTGGAACATACCCACATATGAACAATAGATTCTGTTAAATTTCCAGCATTCTGATATGTTGTTGTGTCAATACTCATGAGATGGCATTCCTGAAGTGACGGTATGCATGTTATCTGCATTCCCTTTAAAAAAAGATTATAATAATCATGTAAACATGAAGACATAATTTCGACTGCGATTAAGCTTTTGCCAATTTTTGTTTCTATTTCTACATAATATTCTAAAGGCAAAGGTGTGTATACATGAACATGCACTTGACAATGATTAAAAGTACCACTGCATCTATTGTCTTTCGCATGGCAGCTGCCAGCTTTTTACATCTTGTTATAAGTATTCTATATAAACAGGTTAAATCTAAACTCTATTCGAAAAAGCATTGCCTTCCAAAATTCTCTTATTTATCGTTGCAATCTTTACAACATTACGTAAGCCGAAGATTTCTTTACAGTTTAAAGTATTTCACCGTTAAGGTTAAACCTGTGTTGACATCTTACATTGTCGAGTTACTCTTTCGCAATGAAATTAACAATTTTTACACATTTTCCGAGGCAGGAGAAAAGTAACATCAAATATAAGTCAATGCATTAGCTACATACAGGAAAAAGATGTCGACCCTGAGTTTCAAGTATTGAATTATATGTATTGTAAAGGAATGGCTTATACCCTACGTATATCTCCGATCTCCACAGTAGGATTCGAACCCGCGTAACCTGTGACGTAAGGATCAATTCCTAACTGCGCGACGTTGTAGAGCAGACCCTGTAACCACTGCTCATGGCAGGCAACTGTATTAGTACGAGGAATATTAGAAAAGTTCGCAGACACATTAATTAACGTAAAATCTATTATGTATACTTTGAAGTATGACCCATGTCTTACTAAATTACTATCTTTTGTTTATTAGTATGTAAAATGCCATGTCCATTTATTACAATTGTAAAAATCTATTTAAAAAGATTTTTAAAATTGCTGAAGAAATGCACTGGGAAAATCTTTATTTCCATTGTATTTTAAGATAATTTTGTCTACACAAACAAATATGACTTGCATGTTTTCTTATATCTCCGTAAACAGCCTCAAAAATCTCCTCGCCGGTGGGAATGTCGAATTCAACCATAAAACCATTAGTGACAAAATTACTAACAACTACTTTACTTGCACATGAGAGTAAAAGCATGCTTAAAAATTGCTTTCCTGATTCTTACCTTATTGAAATCTTGTATTTTGTGAGATTCCGCAATGTCGTTGTGTGCAGGTGTAGAGTAGTAGACATGATTCGTGTACAGATTGGTTTGAACTTTCTGAATATATCTTGTACCTTTTTCGATTACACCGATCTCAAAATTCTTAATATAATGTAAAGAATAATTAAAAAAAAAATAAATAATGAATTCTTATTTCATTTGAATCACTGGGTTGCTTTCATTTTATTATATTATCATATCCTCAACTTACTAGTTGGTTTGCAATGCACTGGCAAAATAACAGAGAAAGCACGAACACAATCATTGCTTCTAGTTTGTTAACAATCTGTAAAAAAAAAAATCATACAACTATGCTAATTTCCTTTTTTGATGTAAAAATATTTGGAAATATAAAAGGATATATCAAACCAACAAACATTCAATGCATTAACGATTAAGGTATCTTTCTTGACCGATTTTGAAAACGACAAAAGTAAAAAATTCCTAAAATATACAGTGAAAAAAAGAAGCTTTAACATATGATTTTGTGTCGTTTTACATGTAATTGTGTATAAAATGTTTCAACCTATATAAAACATTGTGACAAAATCCTACAAAATTCTTCCACTTTACTTGACAAACTTTCTTTAGGTTACCCTTTAGGCTATAATTAATTATACGAAAAAAAAATATTGCTGCATTCTGGAAAAAAAATGGTTTTTGTAATACACGTATTTATCACACATAGCTTTGTGTACATGTACAATTACCGGTAGCTCTGAAACTTTAAAACAAATTAGATGGAAAGGATACTTGGATTTCGTGCATACATGTAGTTCATGTAAAGAGGTTTTAAATTGCATAACTTGTGCCAATGTGAATGATGGGCGTTTATATTTATGGTTATTTTTTTGTTTTGGCTACATGAATTTTTTCTGTCATTTTGTATGAAGCTTCTACGAATGTTGATCCAAATCTAATGTCACAGTGTCCATATCTTTTATATTTGGCGTCATATTATCAAATACAATATACCAAAAGATACACAAATACTAATCTAAATAACATTAAAAATTCCAAATAATAATGTTTATTTGAATTCATTTTATAGATGTTTAAAACATAGAGCATAGGGGTGTCGTCGCGTCACAACTAAACGTCACGTTTTAAACCGTATTTTTTCTTAGAATGAAAAAGACAAACATGATTTAATTAACAGAATTTAAAAAATTCTTTAAACAGCACACCTAATCTCTCATTTTGTTAAAAGGCACATTTAAAGTCATTTTCTAGTCTTTAATTGAAAATTAAATGACGGCATTGTTATTTGTTATCATAAACATTGTTGATTTACTCTGCCGCATCGAACAAAGGGACTCTCCAAATGAGAAAAACCTGCTCCACAAGTTGTTACGCAGTTTGCTTCAAAATATGGGAATCATCACTAACGACACTTACGTTGATTTATCAGACTCAAAGAATAAAGAATGTAAATAAGAGATTTCTTTATAGATGGTTTCAGGAATTTTAGGAGTATAAAGGGTCATTGAATGATCAGCAGAGGACAAGAAGACCGAAAGATAGGAGATCGGACGGAAACGTTTAATGATGTCTGACGTCAAAAAAGAAAGACAGAGTGACATGTGAATTTTTAAGTTTGCCTTATGCTATTGTTAAAAAAAAAATGACACAGGGCTTAATTATGAAAAGAGAATGTGCATAATAGTATCAAGAATTCTTAAAGAAAGTGAAATTGGTGAAAGTGTGTGCGAATAACAAATATTTTTTAATGAAATGAAGGGAGAAACGCTTAAAAATATGACGGCGGGTATCCGCCATAGGACGCTATATTAAGATGCTTCCAAAAACGCACATTGTTTAAAATCTGATATTTTGGAAAGTATACATCGTATTCCTTTGAATTTTTCAGTTCTGATTTAAAATCAAGAAAGCTTCCATCATATATAAATTTGTTTGTATACGTCGATATATAGCAATTTTGTTAAAGATGTGACATTACTTTTTGATCAACATCCTGTGTTGATGTTCAACAAAATTAATGGATAAATTTCCAAGATACTTGCAGATTCCAACTGTACGTAAATTCATAAAAATATCATAATATGCCTTAAATTTATAAGAAGAAATGCCGAGTTATCAGAAAATATGGAATGTTTAGTAAAGATTTTTGCTATATAACAGATTCTTCTGTAAAAGAAAAAGTAATAATGAAATGTGCAAGTAAAAAAAAGTAATAAAATGTTTCTTGAAATAATCATAAGCAAGAAATAGGAAAAATTGATAGAGTGATTTGATGTCTAATCGTTTTTGTTACTACGACACACATATGTGTACTATAGTATATAACGGGACGTATATATGCATTATTAGCAGTATATTGTAAATTTAATTTAGCAAGAAATATTTTAAATTGTGATTAAATAAGAAATGAGGAAAGGCAGGAAAATTCCCGTTTCGACGAGCTCAACCAAACCTTGATGCCCTGGTCATTTTTCAAATGCTTGCATTATTGTAAAATCAAATATAATTTTATTTTGGGATAATTATTAGCCTTAAAGCAACATCTCCTAAAATATCAGAGAACAAGTATAAAATTCGATTTTCTCTACTAATAATTCTTATAAATTAATACTACAAATGTATTATATGTGTATTGATAACCTGTGCAACATCATATATGATGATTGATTGATTGTATGTTGTGTGACGTCCGACTCGAGAATGTTTTTACTAATATAGAGAGGTCACCATATACCGTTGACCTTTATTTGGAACTCAGAGCTATTGAGCTTCACCGACTGAAATACCTTGAACGGTTTTAATTGATACATAATAGTATCATCAATTCTAACTTCTCAGGTCTTTCCGTCCAGTGGAAATACAACCTCGACTGTACTACATAGACGTCATGACATCCCGCCTCCTCCCCTTTCACAAACTTTGAAAATATGATGTTTAACTTTATTGAATGTAAAGATATTACCTGAAATATACTACATAAGAAACTTCAAAATCTCTCTATCCTATATTTAAAGAAACAGGAATATGTATAAATTTTAAACACTCAGTTGTGTTAAAGCTGAACACAATAAAGCAATAAGTCAGCCATTTCATTCTGATACTCGCTATATCTGAAGACCCTTATATATAAGGCTTGATTTAGACAATGTTCATTGTAATCAGTCAACACCGATGTAAACGGACGTATGGTATACAACGCTCTATAGCGATAAGAATAACTGATACTTCGTCTAATGCAGGAAAGAATTTTACAAATATAGTTGGACAGGGCAGTGCAGTAGGAAAACAAACACAGTTAGATACACGTAGAGGCCGAAACGTCTGTAAAAGACACTAATGGTAATCTAACAACCAAGCTACAGTATATGATAAACGTGATGACTTTAACTTTTCTATCGTCAACTTCCCTTACTTATGCAGCAATATACCTTCATCACCTGTATACGGAGTATATATATCTCAGTTGATTCGATACGCAAGAGCATGCTCTATGTATGAACAATTTCTAAAACGAGGTAAATTATTGAAAAGCAAGATGATGAAACAAGAATATCAACAGTCTCGTTTCGAGTTATCATTTTGTAAGTTCTATGGTCGATACAATGACCTTGTAAGCACATACAATTTATCATTAAGTCCATGACAAGGAGCACACGGCGGGTATGACCGGTCGGCAGGGGATGCTCAGTCCTCCATGGCATCTGATCCTAACTCTGATGTTTCGGGAATGCAAGGTAATCAGAACGAACACGTTTCGCTATTTCCGTGACAAAGAGCAGTCGAGTGCATCGAATGCAAAGATTACACTTTAGTGTTGATGTACCATAGTCTTCATAGATACAGTTGTAATTATATGATGATATCTAAAATGGTGAATGCCTATTTCAGAGTCGTGTTCAACTTTAATACAATCGAGGTTCTTTTTCCTACCTCTGACGGTTAGACACGAGATGATTCGATTGTAGTACAGTGTAATAGAAATTATTTCAATAGTTCTTGTAAACGAAGCTGTTGGTCCAGCTGATTGTATTAGTCATAATATGTTAAAATCTACTCTTTTACTTTTGCTAAACCACATTTATTTATTATTTTCCATCTTTTTTTGGAAATTAGGTCATGTTATTTTCTTTTAAAGAAAGACGACCTTTCCATGATTTCTAATTACCGACCTCATTATTATCCTTTGTTAATAGAATTATCATGATTATGGAGAAAATGCTATTTAAAAATGTGTACAATTAATTCATATCAATTATCTATTTCATCGATACCAAGAACAATTCTTATTTGGTCATTCATCTGTATATGAAATATTACAAACGTATCTCGGTTATTTTTCAAAGAATACTTAATGATAAATTATATATGTTTTTGCAATCTTTCAAAAGCTTCTGATAAAGTGTGGAACAAAGGTCTCATTTGAAAATCAAAAACGTATGATATACATATAGAAATCTTGTCTAATTGTTTTCCAGTTATTTATATAATTCAATTTCTATAAAATACTTGAAACCGATTGGATAAAAAATTGTTTTGATACATCCATCAATAAAATCTAGAATTTGCTTGCACTAAGCAGCCGGAACTACTTTGGCTGTCTTTACATTTATATTCCCTGCTTCCATATTACTTTTTGAATAATTAAATAGTTTTACTTTAATAGATACTTTCCTGAATTTCGAAACCTGTCCGTTACATTCCTGACTTATTACCTACTTTCGTTTCTTTTTTTGATTATCGTCATCTGCATTACAACGATACAGTAATGGGAAAGAATGAAAGAACTCACCTTTCTTATGTTAAATGAACGTCTTTGAGATAACTGGTATTACATGTAACAGTAGAACTTTAAAAAAATGTTTTATGCTTCCAAAGCTTGGAAATGCCGTTAATGTGTTAATTCTTTATAAACGAATGATCGAGAAAAACGACACTGAATGAATGAGGAATGAATTTTAAACAGTCAGCAACAGACTCTTTCAGATTTTACAACATTGACAGGTTGTGATACGTATTTATATGTTCCTTTTAAAATTCAGATGAAAAGGAGCGAAAATAAAATCCAAAATTTCTATGATCTAGAACTGATAGGATATTTTAGAAGCTTCCCTTTACATTTACAAACTTACCGGGGAAAACATACCCATTGGGATAAAGCAAAATATAATAACACAACAGGAAATTCTTTTTGGTGTAAAAGAATTGCAAATTAATGTTTGAGAAGGTTGGTAATGACACGACAATATTTGAAAACTTGTTTTTGATGCGCAAATTCCATAGTAAAGTGAAAGAAAGTTTTATTTTAT